GTATAATGGAGTGATATTTTAATTCAAATCAAAAGATGAGTTATAAAAACTTGGTCAAACCAACTATGCCTAATCATATTAATAAGTTAATTCCTTTATAGAGGGTATTCATTTACACTCTTTTTTTTTTTTTTTGGTCTTTTATGGCTACTGTCATATAGAAGAAACTAAAAAAAAACCTGATTTTTAACTTTAAGAAACTGGGACCTATTAAAGATACACAGAAATGAAGCCTGCTCAGTAACTTGCAGAAGTAATCAATTTCAGGATCCTAACAAAAGGTAACTGCAAATCTGAGATCCTTCCTAATTTCTGAGTATGTCCCATAGAACTCTGTTTGTTTATGTTCCATCCTTTCCCACAGTAAGGGTATACAGAAAAAAAGACAAGGACATGAAAAAGGACAAAGCAAGGATAAATATGTGAAATGCGGTATAGCAGATAAAGTACTGGGCTAGGACTTAGGAAAACCAGGCACTATTTCTAATTTGGTCCCTCTGTGGGCAGAGGCAAATTATGATCTATAATAATAAAAGTGTAATATGCTAATTAGCTGGGACGAAACCTCGACTGCAAGGGAGGGATCCAGGCAGCCTCTGGCAGCTGTGAGGGAGGATCGTGGCAGCTACGGCTGCGAAGGCCTCCTCTTGCACGAATTTCGTGCATCGGGCCTCTAGTACATACATAAAAGTAAGATCCTTTTTGAAAATAAAACTTTATGATCTCACACTACATACTTATGACTCATCCCCAAAGCTTATTTCTGGGCTTAAAAAAAATCCCTAAGCAATCTCAGAGACTACCTTTATTTACATAAATAAGAGTACTCCAGCACAAATGTTTATTATACAAATAAATTACATTAGGAAGATTTCCACATAATGAACCTTAATGTAATTTATAGGCAAGTTTCCTAGGTCTTATGTTTTTATGAATTATCTAACAAAAATAAAATACATTTTTATCTACAATTAGGAATCTGTGTAAGCGGAGGGCTGACTTAAGTTATACACAGACTTTTGACCACAAGAGTGTTCAGTACCCCAACCCACAACTGTTCAAGGGTCAACTATATAAACATTCCAGAAAGTGGGTGATTATCCAATTCTGTGATTATCTCATTCCCAGAGCACACACCTGGCAATAATTTGGAAAGTTAGACCACAAAAACAACTGTTTCTTTTGTTTTGTGGAAAGTAATATCAAATTTCATTTTAAAGGATTCCCTTAAATTTTCAGTCTTTAAGTATATGCTTCCCTGTCTTTTCTCTATTATCTCTCTTTTTTTTAAAGGGATATTAGGTAATTCTTTTAAACTTCCTCCCTTCCCCAAATACATTTTAAAGTACATACCTCCACGTGATACCGAAGGTTGGTCTAGGAGAAGGATACGGCCATATATCCAAGGCAGGTTTAGCATTATAATTAAAATAAGGGAC